TTCAAGAAATGGCCATCGACTTGCAGAAAATGTAACTTGGTAATTGGTTCTTTGCATCGTTTACAGGCACAGTTCATTTCTTCACTGGCATAAGGAAAATCTCCGAAATTGTCCGTAAATGTTTGCAAAATTTATTATAAAAATTAAGACGCAACTTAATGAATCCTACTGTATATAAACGGCGACCTCTGTCTGCCTGTTTGTCTGTCTGTCCGGAAATTCGGAACTACCTGAAGAGCCAGTTTCAGGGGGCGGGTCAAGGTTGGGATGGGTAGGGCATGGGCCAAGATGTACGGAAAACACGTGAAGCTAGGGCAAGGCCCCGCCCACATGTGGCGGAGCGTGTGGCACAGTTGTGACTACAGTAATTCAAAAATTCGTAAACTCGGAGTTCCGAAAAGAGGCCGCAGAGAAGTGTTAAAAGTGAGAAGTGATAGGCAATCAGTAGGCGGACGAAATGAGTGAGACATACCCATTATGGGCTGGGGCGTTCCATAGGTGGACGGTGCTTGCCCAAAACTTTCAAAAATTCGTATCTCGGTTTCAAAGGAGCCCGGAGAGTGGAAAATGAGGCAAACGATAGGCAAATAGGCAACAAGCTGGCGGACGAAATCAATGAAGCACGCTCCTGACGGGCGGGGCGTTCGCCGAAGTGAAGGGTGCCGAGGACAAAAACCCTCAAAGCGTATCCGAAAAACCCCACGAAATGGGGAGTAAGGTGAAACTGAGCAATGGTTTGGCAGAAGTTAATGAGGGATAACCGTAGAGAGTATACTAAATGATTCCCTCTCTCACCACTAGGGGAGTGGCGTATAGAAAATCTTGATGACTGTCTTCTAGAGGGGGGAGGGGGGATCCGAGGGACCCTCCCTTTCATGGAAAACTTCTCACCGGGAAGTCCCGGTCTACATAGGCGCAGTTCGCCCCGATAAACACGTCTCCCTCAGCGCGAGAACGCTTGCACTGTGCGGCCAAGACCACCTGCACATCCAAAAATTCCCTGATCACAGGCCACCAAGCGCACCCCAGAAAGCACAACGGCAAACTTTTCAGACAAGCTTAGGAGAGCGCTAATGTATTGGTTACGCCACAACTACTTTTTGCCGCGTTTGCGCAAGAAGCAAAAAAGTTGACTTCAGCAGGGATCCGATCCCAAGACCTGTTTGGTGGTAACGCGGTGGGAAAAGCTCCATAACTCCGTTCAGAGAATCGCTTCTGCAAATTTCGAAGGCAGATTCGAGATCAGCGTCCAAAACCACGTCTAGTGAGCTACATCTCATTACAAATGGCCACTTCGACCTGACGACCTCCCCTAGTTAGGTGTTGGTCCCAGCCACGCTCAGTATCCCCACTCGTTGACTGTATACCGGTCTATCTATCTAGGTCATCCATTCAAACGTGCCGGCCTGGTGTTTTTTGAATACAAAAGAGGAGAATAGATAGAAAAGTGATATTTAGCTTTAGGATGAGTAAATCCCTCCTTCACCAATGACCCGCTCCCAGTGCCCCGAGGGCCTTTGGACCTCTGGTACCTTCGATTTTTCAACAAGTGTGAGTAAATTGCTGTTGTTGCCAATTTCGGCAAATGACAAAACATTGTAGCGTCTGCCGTCGAAGAGTACTCTCTACTGAATAGAACAGTTGTAATCGCATGGCTTTATGACGGGCGAATGGGGCGATTGAACCCAGGTCTCAGTATTGTTTGTGTCCCAACACTGATCTGCAATACAGTTACTCGGGGTCTGGTACTATGACGAGCAACGATGGGCCTTCTCTTGTAGTTGTGTGGTAGCATCCATTTGTCGATCTGAATGCCGAGGAACAGGCAATATGCACCGACAGTGACGGATTTGTTCTCTGTATAGAGCCGCTTGAAAGCCACAGTGTGGGAATCCTTTGCTATGATGATCATCCACTTGCGCCCACGTAACTCTTCATGGTAGAACTCGGGCGGCTTCTCATCTGCATTCATAGAAAATTGACGATTGTGAGTTTCGACTCGAGGTCCGAGACCACCCATATTTCATCTAGGGCCGGGGTGCGTTTTCACAGTTGTGAGTGACATCTCATGCTGAGAACATTACTGCTGGAGGTATAGAATCGGTACTGCGTTCGTGCTTCTATAAGAAAATTAGGTACCCATGCGCCACCCTCTTGACCATCCTCAGTTTATCGACATACGGCAGCAGTTCAGGCTGGGATGTCAGACTCGCGGGGAAGCTCGACAAGGGTCCAGGCTCTGTGATCAGATATTCAGTGCCTGACTTCATCCACCCTTTTTTCTTGTGCAGGATGAATATTATGGGACCATCCACGACAACAAATTTTTTCCTTTCTTCCTTGTACGGGCTCCTGAACCAAATCTTCCACCGTGTATTTCGAGTACGGTGCAGACAAATTGAGGACGCACTTTCCCTTAGACGTCTGATGAAAAACCGGCCTGATTATTTAGCTATGCTCGGCTCTTTTTTGAATTTTCTGCGAGAACTTCTTCTGGGGCTAGGTTCGACCAAATTTCACAGATACACAGCTTAAGGTACTAGCTTCCAAATGGTATAGTAGCCCGCTGCTCTATCCCCTTTGCTTCTGCCATTCCTCTATATGTAGCGGCACGTTTGAATGGGATGACTAATATCTACACCTGGTTCTTACCGCTGAGCCAGCCCGTTTTCCACCAATTGTTGTCGCTTGCCTGCTTGAACAACTGATGGAGAGCGGTGTGGCTCTGCGCCAAACCCAACCCCTCTGACACGCCCCAGCGTGTGCAGCGAAAACTGTATACAGGAAGCCAGTATAGACAGCTCGACAATGTTTCAGCGGGACTCATTGAATTAGGGGAAATCCGAACGTTGATGTAAGCAGTCCCTTACGATCCCTTACAACAAGTAACCGTTATTTTGAAATGGTGAACAAGAATCTGAATCGTGAAATTACATGTATATAGATGTTTGTTGCTGTGCGCAGACCTACTTGCCTCTTCATCGACTGTCTGGCATTTCCTATTTCCAGGGGCGGGTGATTTATTTGAATACTCCTTCAACATGCAACATTCTAGAACGGGAAAAATTACAAATTTCGGCTCGCTCCTCGTCTATAAAATTATGGGGGATCCCTGCGAGCTTCCTTCTTTTGGACACCTGCTGTAATCGCTTGTTTCCACTCAAAAGAGGTTAAACTGAGCTTCGGCCCGTAGTCTCTGGCGAACCAGTTTGGAAATCTTTCATTAAAATAAACTAAAACTCGTAGAAACACATTTTGACAATACCCTTTGCTTTACTACAAGCAAATCCATTTGTTTCCAGTTAATGAACCCTCGTAATCAATGACGATGATAAATGTGCCCTTATTTTACTGTCGTAATCATTCTTCCACTAAAACCCCATCTGACATAGAAGTTTTCAAACAATTCCCCGTTTAATGACGTTACCGGCGGGCGGGGTTACGACTGGACGAGCTATCTTGCCGCGAATCACTGTGCGCGAAATTTCAACATTTGAATTCCGTTCGTGGTTTTACTGGTATTGACTGTTTTATTATAGAGTTTTTATGGTTTCTCATTGTTGGATCTTTCAAACCGTGTCATTTAAATACTAAAAAAATAGTCAGTACCAGTTTCAGATGGACAGCTTTGTAACGAAAACAGCAAAACCAAAACAAGATAATGGACCATCTCCTTTTGCAGCGGTTTGTAAATTGTTTTGGTAAATTGTTTATGAGGGTAGCAGGAAATGAACTGAAGATAACTTCAGGAAAGAAATGCCCGACGTATTGTGAATGAAGCAGCGAGAGCGCCCACACTCGAAGACGTGACTGCTCTTCTTAAAGTAGTGCGAGAAGAGGAAGGTGTGAAGGTAAGTGATTTCCATTTGGAAGCTTTTCACTTTTTTTTCTTTTTGAAAAAGCCTGATTTAGGCAGAAGTTCAACAGCTTCAGTTCACAGAAAAATTTCCTCTACATGACTACAAGCTCGTACAGTTGCCGAGGGAGCTTTTGAATACAGTGAAATCGGGAGACAAGTAAGGTGTAATATAATAAGCAGAAAGTATAATCGTTTTCGCTGCAGACGCTGGGCGTGTGCCCCGGTATACTTGTCAACCACGGAGTCTCGCTTCTCTTCCCTTTTTCCTTCTTTCTTCTCTATTTCCTCCTCTTTGCTTCTTCCCTCCCTCACGCCTGCCGTCCAGTGTATACCATGGAAAAAATACTACTTCGCAGGACGAGGTAATCAATATCCGTTTGACAAAAGAGACTTATAACCGTATCTCGTAGCACCGCTTCAACAGATTGCCGGAGAACTGCCGTGGCAACGCGCAGTATCAACCTTACCTTACTCTACCCGCAGCGTTTTGCAGTGAAACGACTGTAGTTGGCACTTCGTCATTAGTTTTTCTGAATGAATTCCTACGTCTGCGCACTGATACCGTTTGTCCTGGCGAAACCTCTTCTATTTTTGCCCACTTTATTACTTGTCTGTAAACTTCATATTTTGAAAGGCTGTGATATTTCGTGGTGCATCGTCAAGATGAGGTTGTTCTTTGTACAGTTTCTTCTTCATATTTTGTGAAAGAAGTGGAAACATCAAACTCTTTATTGATATTGCCGACATTGAAAGTAGCAGCGAACGTTGAAGATACAGGAGAAAAGTTCCTCACTATTGCACCAGTAAGTGCCCCACCCGTCTCTGTACAACTTTATGATTTTTGGATCATTCACTTTCATATTTTTTAATTCCAGCATTAATTCACACTGTCCAGATCACACTTGGAATTCCAAAAATCCCATGCGTTTTCATCTAAGCGTTTCGACGATTTGGTTACAGTGACAGATTGCCTTTGATTGGCCCACAACAGGCTATCTCAGCCAAACGATACGTACGATAATTATCTGGCACTTTCTCAATTATATCCGAGGTTGCTGCACATTTTTCGTTGGACTACGGCCCTCATAGTTGTAATGGGTAGTGGGGTAATGCACTACCACAGGTTGTATGCCTAAAACTGTTGTGCGACACGTGGTTCAGGGCACTTGAGTGAAACCGTGGGCCTCTCTTCCTTTTTTCTTGCCCATCTTCCCGTTATTTTATCCTCTCCTTCCTCTCTGCCCTTCCCTCCTCCTTACATTTCTTGCTTTTCAGATTACTGGGCTAGTAGATGCCCATGAAGGATTTATCACTGCTCGCAGCGAGAGCACAGCGGCTGACCAAGTTGGCCGTGTAACCCACGCGTGAAGGTCTACAATGATTTAATTTACAGTTTATTTCTCGTGGCGCTTTCATTTTCTATCTTTTACCCAGCGCATTCTTTTGAAAACGCTAGTTATCGGTTCTGCTGTTCAGTCTATAGTTGTTTATGGTACAGGCCCGGGACTAATTTGCTCCTGGAAGTGTGCAGCATGACGTGAGGCGAGAGAACTCGCTTCGTATGCATAGCGTGAAAATGCCACGTGTGTGAACATATGGGGTTAAGTTGTTCTCGTGCACGTAAGCTCCGTTCATACTTTGCAGTCAGTGCTCGAGTGTACGTAGAGTTGTGAGCGCCCGCCATTTGGAGTGCTACGGCAGTGTTTTTCGGCCAATTAGTAAAGTATAGGTAGTTCGCATCCAGCGATCTCAACGGTACGCCTAGACGTTTTTCAGCGAAGCTGCCCGCGAAAAGCTCGATAAACTACCCGTCAAACACTAACTCACCTGGCCTGCGCTCGAAACGCTAGATCGATATCTATGTTTCCCTAGTCGCTCAAAACGCTGACGCTGATGTATGAACGCTGTAACAGCAAGTGTAGCTGGTTTATCCCTGAAAGATGCTTGTTTGTAGGGAAGCTGCGATGGTTGTCGAACGATATGATGGTGGATTAACTTCTAACTTTGATTGTTGAGTGCGTTAATGAGTCAGTGTCCACATCGTGTAACATTACTCATCTGACTGGCCTCTAGCTCTCGTAGTTTTTGCCAGAAAATATCACTGATCGGCTATAATCATTGGTTATTCTTTATGAAAATGTGCACGAAAACGGATGAAGGAGGTGGCTATCTTTGCGATTCCCTAGAGCTGTCCTTTGTTCCTTTATGGAAATATTCAGATTATAACGTCAACCCAGAGCCATTTGTTCGCGCACGAGCTGCTCAACTTTTGCGAGCTGTTGCGAAATTCGAAATGGAACATGGTGGAAACTGCTCGATGAGATGTTACCTGTTGGCATCAAAATGGAGTGAGTAGTATAGTCCTTTCAATATTACGCTTTGTTCCGAAGTGGTGGGACAGGGCATGTCCTACGTAGGGTCTCCTCAGCTAGGGGGAGGGTTGGTGTGTGATCCCCAGCTAGGGAGGTGGGGTGTGGAGGACTGTCGCTTTTGGTCGGGTGTAGGGAGAGAGTCGTATAGAAAACACTGAAAAGCAAGGAAGGGCCGGTGTTGATTGTCAGATGTTGTTTTTTCAATGTGCGCTGCTATACCCACTCACCCCTCCCGCTCGGACCCTTACTGTTTCGATGATAACTATATATATTTTTTGGAAAAAAAGAAGAAAAGTCTGCCCCAGTAAGTTTGGCTGAATTTTGCGAAGAGAGGATGGAAAGTGTGAGGTGCGCTACTTAGAGCTGGAACTATTGAGGGATTATTTTTTGTTTTGCGAAACTCCCCTTTTAACGACAGAACAGTGCTCTAGTACATTTATCAAGGAGCCGGCGCAACCGGTCTGGGTAGCGTTACTCAGAACTAAGCGAAAGCCGGACTCTCCTGAGACGTACGACTTTCCTATAACGCTTCATTTTTCGAGTCGCCAAGTTATGAAACCAGTCGGTCTCTAACTGTGATGTCTTTAGTCCTGCAGCAGAATCTGATTAGTTTGCAGTTAGCTTAAAGACACATAGTACGCTCATACACATTGAGGGTGTATGAGACTATCAGCCCCCCAGATGTCGATGTGTCGTGGTCCCCCGCCCAAACATGCCCGGGAATGGAGATACAGGGCCGTGAAACACGCTAATTCTTCCATGCTCCGCCCACTGCCTTTTTACGGCGCAGATTCCCGCCGTTCATAACATCCGTTGCAAGCGCGCCTGTCGCGTGCGGCTCCTTGGCACTTTGCCAAGTCCTTTAATTGCGCTCTCAAATACAAGTAAAACGCAATTTCCTGATGCGGTAACATTGAGGTGCTACAAAAAATAAGAGCACGAAGCATGCCAATGACGAGGCGATCGAACCTAATAAGCGACTGGCCACTTCTGCAACATCCCTCGGAGGCCACGTATTTCCACGAAACATGAAACATAAAAACTAAAAACGGCATACTCGTTAGTTTAATACAAGCAAGACGCAATTTCCTGATGCGAATAAAATTTAAGGTGTTGCTCATGCTTCAAAATCCATGTACAAGGAGATGAAGATGACACAGGCTAGAAATGAAGCACAACGAATTCATGTCCGGCCTGGCGTCTTCGTGTCTAGGGGGATGCGTAGTCGAACACAGTCCAGTGGAAGCTTTATTCGGCAAGAGTATAGGACAGATCGAGTAGAGTAGACTGAGACCTGGCAGCTGAAGCCGCCTTATATACTGGTGAGCACGTGAGTACCATGAGGTCGGGTGGAGAGATACAGTACCAAGTGAGGATCAGAGTATTTCGAAATACGAGCTAAGGCAACAACGAGTAGGAATAACAACAGTAAGTCAGAAGAGTAAGTGAACACTGTGATTAAATGTAATTGTGAGTAAATGTAATTGTGATTAAATGTAAAGATAACAAAAATATATGCATTGTATCTACATGCCCCTCGCGGGCGAAGAGTCGTCCCGACTCTTACTTTCTTCGCGGTCCAGTGTGGCGTGACTCGTGACGGTGTTCCCCTCGGTGTGACGAACGATGTGCTTCCGATCCATGACGTTCGGAACGGCCCTTCGAACGTGACCTGCGGTTCCCAGTCGGCGAATAACGTCTCCTTGACGTACTGGGTCCTGCCACATCAGCATGTCTTCGGAACGAAATTGGACGATTGTGACGAACACGCTCCGGGTCCCTGATGACAAAAAGTTTGGCATCCTTTCCTCGCGTCGGCGTCGCCTCTGGTCCTGCTTCTCCCTCTGACGTCGTTCCCTGAGTTCCGCAGAGGCCATTTCGAATTCATCCATCTTTACCAAGTCGTTGATGGTGACTCGCAACTTATCCAAGAAAAGCCTGATCTGGTAGCCACCGAACTGTGACCTACCGCGGCGCGGGTGCGTACCCAAGCATGCGGCAGGGTGGGTGAACGGCGCTCCTTCCAAAGACGTCACTGTAGTGATCGCGCACAATAGCTTCAAAGGAACGCTGCGGGTCCGTCATGTAGCGGACGTATTCAGCGCAGACCCGTCCCATATGCATCCATTCCGTATTATTGTCATCCTCGTATGGGCTCGGAAAGAATGCAAGCGAGCCTCCAGGCTGCAAGTGGCGTTCCAATGCGATCAGCACTTGGCGCATCTCCCGACTTTCCGGCGTAGTATCGGGCCACACAACGATCAGGGAGGTTACGATCGGCATCGTCACAAGCTTCTCTGCTAATCCATTCCAATCGGCGTACACGTACGGCGTCACGTTGCGCCCATAATCCACATCAGCGTTGACACGAGCGAAGGCAGGCGGCAATGCGATGAAGATCTCCGGCTCTCTATCCACTTGTGCACCAGGTACCCGTAGCTTGCCTTGGAGAGCAATGGCAGTCGTTAGATGTGCTCCAAGATCGTAAGGCACTGGCCAGGAGAACACTGCAGGGTGATCAAACTTCAGCCCTCTGGCGCTTTCCACGGCATCCGCATATGTTATGCAACGTCGGCGATGGGCATCTATGGCAAGCGCCAATCCATACGGGGTGATGTAGCAGGAGCTCTTTTTCCTGAGCTCTTCCTCCTTCCTCTCGTCGCCCCAGCACGCCTGTTCTGCGATTGATGCCACGTTAGCAAGTTGAAACATGTCCAGCACTTTCTTGGACCTGGCCGGGTGTGTTAGGCCTGGTAGAGCTACATGGGCCATTTGTCCAAACAGTCCACAGTTGCATCTGTATCGCAGGTTCAGCACGTTGTCGACGCCAACCAGAGTCCTGGAAACATGATATCGTTAAACTACTTGGTGAGTTTCTTTTACGTGGTCTGCCCCTTTTTCCCCGGCTTTTCTGCGTTTTGATGGGGTCATTAGAAACGGCGGCCGGGAGTTTTCTTAACATATCAAAGGGCACTCTCACCGGCTCTTTGTTCTGACCTATTAGGGTTACCAGGGCGCTATTTTCGCTCGCGCTTAGGACTCTATATGGACCCTCCCAAGGATTCGTCAACTTGGGGTTTTGTGACTGTCTCTCGCTGGGAATTTTCAGGTACACTCGATCGCCAACTTTGAGCGGTGTTTCGCGCACTTTCTTCTCTCGGTCATAGTACACTTTCATTCTGTGGCGCATTTTGTCGTTCATTTCGACTGCGTACTTTCGTGCTAGTTGGGTTCCCACGGCTAGTTCTTGAACATAGCTGTCCAAGTCCACCATGTATTTGCTCATGCTGGTATGGAACTGATCCCCATAGCACATACGCATCGAAACCATGCAGCAGAAAGAATGGTGATTCTCCTGTGGACTCATGCACAGTGGTGTTGTACGCGAAAACGCAGTATGGCAAGATTTTATCCCATTCGCTGGGGACTTGCACCTTTTTCCGCAACATTTTGACGATAGTCTGGTTCGAACCTCTCCGTTATCCCATTTTCTCGAGGGTTGTACCCTTTGGTGAGCACGTGTTCTATTCCCAGAATCTTTTTCAGTTCACTTATCAGCTTGTTGTCGAATTCGCCCCCTTGGTCTGAGAGTAGCTGCTTTGGCTGTCGGCAGCCTTCTGCGATCCATTTCTCGAAGAATACCCTTGCAACGGTTTCTGCTGCTTTGTTGGGTATCGCATATGCTCCACCATATTTAGAGAAATGGTCACTACAGTAGTATGTATCGGTTGCCACTGGAGGTGAGTCCCATTTCGAGGACATCAATTCCTACTATTTCGTAGGGCTTCGACGTCACGATAGGTTTTAAGGGTGGCGCCATGACAGGTCGTGTGTTGTGGCATAAGCATTCACGGCATTCTTCAGCCCATTTTGCCACATCTCGACTCAACGATTCCCAGAACAATCGTTTGGACAGTTGCCGTATTAGCTTCCTGGGGCCAAAATGCCCAGCTAATAGGCCAGCATGCGCTTCATCGAAGACTTTTCTGCGATGCGATGGCGGGACCACCATCCTGCGATGTTCGTTGTCCAGCAGAACGAGTGCTCCTTGGACCATCATGAAGTCTGCGACCTTATACCTGCGGGCTACTCCAGGGAATATCACATCGTTGTCAGCCCTTCCTTCTTCTAGGTCGGTGATGACTTCCCATACACTGAGTGCTCTCGCAACTCCTTGGTCCATTCAGACTCCTTTTGAACTGCTCCGACGATCAGTTCGTTGGGTATGGACTCTTCCGAGCAGCTCTCATTTGAGGCTACTGCTCCGCGACTCAGCGCATCTGCCACCTTATTTGCCGCACCTTTCAAGTAGATGA